AAATATTAGGAGTGACACATTGATGAGAAAGGTTATTGCAGCATATTGTCTTGTATGTTCAACAGCGCTTACTGTCATGTTCTCTAGTGCTACTGAATACAGCCGCTCGCCACGTTTTGTTGGTGGTCAGGTCTTGGTCCCAGCCGGTTGGTTGAATTGAACGACGTTGATGAGCGCTTTAGCGTTGTGCTCCTTGCTGGTGGTCGGTCGGTTGCTGTGGACGATCAACAACACGAATGGTGCAGATGCAAGTCGATGCATGATAGGCACTCATCCTCGCTCGTTGCCTAGCTACTCGATTGATTGTCAACATGCTGAGTTGCATTTTGAACATGGATTGCTTCCTTTTTGTTGGTTCACGAGACGGTTAGACGTGCTTGTTGTGGCTTCTGTAGCTACCCTTTCTTGTTGCGTTATCTTGCAGATGGATATGCAGCATCCGGGCCGTTGGGCAACGTCAGAAACGACTGCACACTTAGGTAAAGCAAACTCAACGGTGGTAATTCAATACATATAAACTTTAGCTGTCATCAACACGCAATAGCGCCACAACATTACATTTCAGCTCCTTACAGCTGTCATAGTCTTTCCAAAAGTCAAATAATGTTGACAAGACCCTGGGTGCATAACAAAAGTGGTCTAGATCATGGTGATTCTGGTCACTATCCGCGCATCAACTCCGTTGTTTTTCAGGGTCTTCTATACGAGCGGAGGAAACCTCGCACCGACCAGCGGGGTAATTGACGTGACATGCTTTGCCTTGACGGGGATCTTGAATGGCTCCGCGTGTACCACTTTATTTGGTTCTTATGTTTTGCAGTTTATACCACCAGCCACGCCCGGACTTCTCCACCACGAAGTCGCGCAGAGACCAGCTCACGCAAGCCGGTCACGTGACATGACATCGGCGCTACAGCAAGGCCGGTCACGTCGACGCGCGAGCCTCGTCATTGTCAGCCTCTAATTCCAAGCATCGCCAGTTCTATCATCAGCCTACGACTCCTCCGAGACCGCAACCCAGCTATCTACGGGATACTCAACCCTATCACTTCCAGAATTAACTAATAGCCGTAGCCATGGAGGAAGAGCGTCTTTGGAAGTTTCGCCGGCCTGAGTGGCTTAACAGCGTCTGGGCCCGCAATGCTGGCATCTACGGCGCTGGAGCTATTGTACGTTGCACCTTATGAAGCATGGCTATACTAGCTCTTTACTACTCTTGCTATTTTATTTGCCGCCCTATGCTTAATGCACGCTGTTATGCGCCATCCTGAACTATCCGTATCCAGTTACTGACCAAGTCAACCGCAGTTCTCCATCGCTTTCTACGTCATGCTCGACTCCGCCGTTTGGTCCAAGTCTTCTCGCAACGGCTCCGATATTCACGTCAAGTTTGTCGACTGGTTGCCCTTCATCTTCTCCAGCTTGGGCATGCTCATCATCAATTCGGTCGAGAAGCAGCGCTTGAGCGCCGATTCCTTCAGCTATAGCGGAAATGGGGTGGCATGGAAGGCTCGCGTTGTCCTATTCTTGGGCTTTGCAGCTCTTGCAGGTGGAATGGCTGGTGGTGTTACCGTGTTTGTTCTCAAGTTTGTTGTCCCAAGCGTCGCCATGCCTGCTCTGGGTATGGGCATCGAGAACGTGGTTAGCAACGCTCTGGTGGGTGTGAGGTAAGAGCTCCTTGAATTGACGAGAGGTGGCAGTGTATCCTTACTAACTTCCCGCAGCTCCGTCGTCCTTTGGGTCAGTCAGAACATGGAAGACGAGTATTCGTACAACCTCTCCCTGTAAACAATAGCAAACCGAACACGAACGAAAGGACAGAACGATTGAATTCGGGGCGTACTGATGGGTTGAGCTGGATTCCTAGAGATAGGTATTGGATGTACGATTAAGAACAGATTCTCACAGTACATTGATGGAAGAACAAGTTGCAACGATACTGTTCCATGAGTAGCGATGGTAGGCGATCAGCATTAGCTGAAAAGAATATCTGGACAAAGACTATGCTGCCACGGAGATTTATTGAGCATTATCTCTTTTTGAATTTGAGCTTGAGCTTAGAATTAGCGTTATTAAGGATTGGGGAGTAGGTTATCAAGAGCTTATATCCATTGTACTGGATGTTATCAACTTCAAAGGCCATGCTAAGTCTTTGTTGCAACCTGCCACAATGTGAAAACAAGCCCAGGAGACCGAGGTAATTACTGTACCTGAATTGTCTATAATTGATCCATTCATGTTGTTCGAATATTCGATATAGTGTGCTTACTCTGATCAACCAGATGTGAGTCGGCGGCTAGCATCACTAAGACGAAGACACCCCGGCGCATCCCCACACAAAGTCAATAGACGGACCTCGCATCTGACTCGATGTAACCAATCTTGAATTAACATCAACTTTTTGAATAACCTCCCGTCACGTCTCTTCACTAAGCTCAGCAGCCCATGATGGCCGATCGTTCTAGGACAACAACAAACGGAGGTGCCGTCTCTCGCTCGCGCAACGGCGCCTCTTCCGCGGGCGTCCGGCGCAATCTGTTCCAGAGCCAGTTGACCAGGCGACCTACCGCCGGTTCGACATCTACGTCTGCTGAGACGCTGCATTTGGACGTCGATGTCTTGTCCGATACCTCTGAAATCGTGGTTCGCGATAAGCATGGTGAAATTGAGATTGGAGATCCCCCGACGCCGATGATGGAGGATGAAGATGAGTTACCGTTGGATCTTAGGCAGGAGAGTGAGAGTATGAAACAATCTGCGCATATTACTTGTTTGTTATAAGTGGTGATCAAGGCTCACAATTCTGACAGAGGAGAGACAAAGACTTGCAGAAGCTGTCAAACACCATCAGATTAACCGCAACACTATACCTGAACAACCTGAAGGTGCGTCATCTATACTGTTCATCTCACAACTGCCTTTCACTAACACAATTTCAGAACTACTTGAAGCTGTTAGAGCAAGTCTACGAGCCAAAGTAGCAGCCCTCACAGAAGACAATTGGATGTTTGAACCGGAAGAACAACACCGTGGATAACCAAGTCTTTTTGTTTACCTTTCAACGCCTGCTGTCTATGTGTTTCTCTTAAGACAATGCGGTATACCAACTACTGTACCCAACCCACAGATCAAACATCCATCTAGTCCAGACCCTCAGCTGCAGGAGCATCTGGCCGTTGCGTGACTTGTCTACGCTTTGGCTTCTCCTGCTGACCACCACCTCCACCAAAGAATCCGCTCATCATATCCATCAGAGGATTACTCTGTCGAGGCTTGGACAGGCCGAAGTACATTTCTCCGACCATCTCGAGCGCCTCGCTCCATGAGCCCGCCTCGTTGATTTGCGTCGCATACTTGGATACCAGGGCGCGGTAGAGTTCGGGTGCACCACGCTGGATAGCAAGTAGGAGGAAGCCCAGGAAGTTGAGGAGGGGCAGGCTGGGGAAGACGCGAATATCACCAGCGGAGCTGGACACATCCTGGACGCCGAGGTTCGGGTTGTCGTTGGAAAGCGAGCTGGTGAAGAGGCGGTAGCAGGTATTGGCGGCACGAACGTTTCCGACAAGAAGGTAGGGGAGGACAGCGCGACCAGCGAAAAGAGCCGCCAGATGAGGCTCGCCCTCCCTGTACCATGTGTATTCCATCTTTGTTAGAACCTCAGGCGAGTCCTTTGTTCCCAATATTAAATGTTTCTCGGCCTCGTATGTATCGTGCTCTTCGGCGTAGAGTGAACCGGCGACGTGGTGAAGCTCCGGGTCTCCAGCTGGATATTCGCCAAATTTGGCTGACCACCTATAACCAATAATGTCAGACATGGTCATTCTTGACGATTCTTAGGAACCTCTATATGGCACTTACCCGATGATCTCGCCAACAAACTTCTTTCTTGTAGGTTCGCCAGCCTCGAATAGTCGCAGACAAGTCAATAGTCTGCCCTTGGTGGTAGCGTCGGGCTTCAGCTCTGCCTGCTTATACACGTCGACGAGCATGGCACACAAGTCACCACCACTGCCGCCCTGTCCCGCGCGCAGCAGCGCTTGGGAGACATTAGAGAGAATGTCGATAGCGGCGGGCCAGTTGGATGTCTTGATGTAACGGGACGCGGCGACTCGCGTCTGCTGCTGAGCCTCATAGTAATCGCCCTCTTCGATTTTGGCTTGTAGCCGGGCTACTATGCGTTCGACCTTGCTGGCCATGGCGAATAGTTTATGAGGTTCGGTACGGAATAAGGAAAAGAGAGTTGAGGGATGGGCGATGCGACGGAAGAGAGTGACGTAGAAGATACTCTGCTGAGGCAAGGTGTCGCAGCTCAGGTGGGTGGTGTTGGTGGAGGGGTTGGCCAGAAACTACGTACCCAGAGCTCCCAGGACAGGACCTAGGTCCCACATTTGGAACGACTCAGAAACTTTCAAAATTCATCTGCTGAGAATATTTCATCCTTACCTTGAACCTACAACAACAATCTTTCGCTTTCGACTTTCCACCAATATAAAAGCGCACCCAATTGCCGACTACAGCACATCAGGTTACCTCTTTCAACCACAATCTGACCTCTTGTCTCTTAGTTGGCTCGGACCTCACCAGCGTGTCCCCTGATGACCTTTGACCCTCGCAGCTGTTTACAATCTAGAACGGTTACACTGCAATACCTATCAAGCAATTGTCATTTGCTACATAGACTGCGACCTCAGAGCAAGTCTTATTCGTTCAAGACAAGTAGCTGCAGCGCTAGATGCCAGTATCCTTGAAATAGAGGTAAAGATAGGACCAGGAGTTTAGAACCAATGCAGTAAGGTACGTGTCTACCAGCCCCACACGACGATCTCCAGAGTAGGTCGCCAAAGCTGATATGGGTCTGCCTCTTCATGTATAAGAAGCTCACCATCCCCATTGCTGTCTGTCTTCTACCTCGCTCTAGATTGTTCCATCACGGTAGACAGGTGCCAACCTCACTTCCCTACATAAACATGTATTTCAAAAGCCCTTCCAACAAAGACACAGCGTAATTAGTTTAGTGGTAAAATTCGCCTTTCCCATGGGCGAGTCCTGGGTTCGATTCCCAGATTACGCAATCTCTTTTTGAGCTTTCGGCATCTTTTTGCTCTTTATAGGACTCATGGTATTGCTCCGCGTGGTGGTATACGTTCTGGTTTGCTTCATTTGCAGTTGAGAGGATAATGCCAGCGTTTCCTCGCCTATTCCTGCCTCCTTTTGGCCAGGATCAGCTAGGGTAAATCGAGAATAAGAGATAGAGTGAAAAATATACACTTAAATGAATCTCTCTCAGGGGGGCTCTCTCGAGGCTGCTATTAGAATGAGAATAATCTACTTCCTCATTGGTTTCGATATTTGGACCCCGAAGCTGCCTATATCAACCGAACAGATATACCCCGCAACGGCCCTGGCCTATCCGCATTTCGGCCCCATCTTCCGGGCATTAATGTGACATGCCGAAGCCGGCGTTAACAATTGATTACTTGACGCGGTCTAAGCTAAATTCCGTCATTCATAAAGAGCTCGGGTTCCCTTATCTCTTGCCTCTTTCTGTGTTCCGACCTTTTTGGTATTATACAATTACTTAGTATATCCAATAAAGCAATGGCCTCAGCAGCTCTCCAGCGTAAGTAGCTTGTCTTCACCTCGGCAAGCACTCCAGACACTGACACCGACAGGCCTTGTGCGCTTTGTACCAAGGGGTAGCCCTTCCAAGATCCTCATCGGTCAGCCAGCAGACAAGGACATTGATGTCGGCGCTGCGTTGCGCAAGGGTCAAGAGGTAGCCGTCAATATCTGGTCTGGCTCCTCAGTCCTATCTCCAGGATCCTCGACTGGAGCCACTGCGACTATTGACCGTGTCTTGTCTCCTCTTGCTCAGAGTGAGATTGGTACTGTCCGATGTGTCGGCTTGAATGTATGTATAATGCATCTCTGGAAACAGGGCATGGGCTGACCCTCTATCTCAGTACAAAAAACACGCTGCCGAGGTCGGAGTTGACCCGCCAGCAATCCCCGTTATATTCATGTAAGTGACCTTTTGGCCATGGATCAGTTTGAGACTTGAAGCTTATTCATAGATAGGAAGCCCAGTACATCTATCGTGGATCCTTGGCCAGCTCGTGGAATCGTTCCCAAGCTGAGCCAGGTTGACGAATCTGGAGACTACGAGGCAGAATTGGCTGTAGTCATTGGTAAGACAGCCAAAAACGTCACTGAAGCCGAGGCTTTGAACTACGTTCTTGGATACACTGCCGCCAATGATGTTTCAAGTCGTACTCAGCAACTGAACCAATCGCAATGGTCTTTTTCAAAGAGCTTCGACGGAGCTTGCCCATTGGGTGAGTTATCACGATTAATGTCCTTATGTTTATTCAAGCTAACGTCATATGTTAGGTCCTACTCTTGCCCTCAAGTCCCTAATCCCAGATCCTTCGAAGTTGTATATGCGGGGAATCAAGAATGGCGAGGTGTACCAGGCGAGTGGTACCGAGTAAGTGTTGTCAGCCTAGTTTCACAGATGCACTCACTAACAATACCTAGCGATTTGATCTTTTCAGTTCCCAAGATCATCAGCTGGCTATCCCAGGGTACTACTCTACCCCCAGGAACCGTCATCATCACCGGTACTCCCTCTGGTGTCGGAATGGGTCGAACGCCCAAGGACGCCCTGAGACATGGTGACGAGTATGCGGTGGAGATTCTTCCCCATATCGGAACGCTCACCAATATCTTCGAGAACGATAAAAGTGAATTCGTAGCGAAATTGTAAGCGGTTACAGTTATAGGCTTCCTGGCGCCTCTTGTACATTCAATGAAGTTCTCGCCAAATATATAATTTGCCGAAAAATTCGATGGCTTTCTTTCAAAGGAATGATTCGATTGATTGGTTGGTTAAATATACGAATATGCTTCTATTTCCATAATGTGGCTGCGAAGCGTGAGCACTAATGTACGATCTTGTCATATTGCTCCTTGAAGTAAGGTAAGCCGGTAAAGTATAAGCGAGCATATATCCTGGTTTCTATATAAATCAAAGCATCACGACTGTTCATAGCACCAGTTCTCTACATCTAAGAACTAAATTCAGAAACTTCCCAGCAATGTCGAACCAAACTTCTGTTCCCGAAAAGATGAGGGCGTTGAGATTAGTCGAGGTAAGCGATACGCGGGGGGTGGGTGGTAAGTTGCTTAGTTATCACGTCTCATTCATACGGTATCACAGTACAACAAGAGTTACAAACTCTGCGATGATGTGCCAACTCCAACCCCAAAGGAGGATGAAATTCTTGTCCGCGTGGCTGCCGCTGGCTTCTGTCACACTGACCTCATGGTATACCACGGTATAACTCAAGGTCCGCTACCATTCACCGGTTCTCATGAACCAGCCGGCACAATAGTCGGTCTTGGTTCCGATATTCCGAAAACATGGCATCTGGGAGACCGCGTGGGAGTTACAAATTTCATGGACCCTTGCAACAATTGTAAGAAGTGTCAATGGGCGACGCAGACTCTTGGGTCACTAGATCCTCGATTCTGTGATAATCGGACTATGTGCGGGATCGTCCGTCGTGATGGAGCATTTGCCGAGTACATGACAGCTCATCATGGTGCTGTTGTTCACTTACCGGCCAGTATGAGTTTCGAACAGGCGGCCCCTTTGATGTGCGCTGGAGTGAGTCCACCAAGCTGAGATCGCTACATGAATGAAGGTGTACTGACAATGAACCCCTAGGCGACTGTATGGCACGCCATTAACCAGGCAGGTCTTCAAAAGGGACAAACCATAGGGATAATTGGAGTGGGTGGTCTTGGAGTCCTGGGCATACAATTCGCAAAGGCTCGTGGATATCGAGTTGTAGCTGTTGACAACCGCGACGTCGGTTTGAAGCTCGCATCGGGAGTTCCCTCTCATCTCAAACCAGATCTCATTGTCGGCTATGGCGATCCAGAAACAGTGCAGAGAATTTCCGACTTTACAGACGGCATTGGCCTCAAAGCTGCCATCGTGTGTACTGAAAGCGGTGATGCCAACGATTGGGCTGCTCAGCGACTGCAGCCAAGGGGCGTCCTCGTCGCTGTCGGAATGCCTGCAGAAGGCATCAAGTTTGACACGTTGAATCTGATCTTCAATGAGATTGTGATCAAGGGGACGATTCATTGCAGCATGGATGAAACTAGGGAGATGATGGGGTTTGTGGCTGAACATGGAATTTTGAGCCATTTAAGCTTGCTCACAATGGAAGAGGCTGAGGATCTGCCGAGCAAGGCTATAGCTGGGGCTTATACGGGCCGTCCAGTTGTGAGGATTGGAAAGGAGCCGTTGGAGGGACGGTGATGAATGATGTGAGGCCTGTCCGAGCAACCACACGGGATTTGGTCAAGGGATGTATCTCGCAGCACATACCTTCCTTAGCTAGAACAAAATGGGAAACGAAAAAAACAATTTCCTACATCGTCCGTATTAAGATGTTAGCAGCATTGTATGAGCAATGCATAACACAAATGGATGACGATGAGATTACATGGTACAAGCGCCTCCTCCATGTCTGAACGATCAGGAGGAGCTTAAGGAAGCAAAAAGAAGGGTTGTAGGTCCTAGCCAGGTTCGAACTGGCGACTTTGGAAGTAGCTTTTGAGTCATCAAAATCCACTGGTTTTGTTAGTGATTGAGTTTATTACTTCAACATTGTGATAACTTACACGTCCTAACCACTAGACTATAGGACCTCTGGGTCTTGAGGTTAGTATTTGGTTGACCTGAACAGTACTATATGGGCTCGCTAAACTTGTCCTACTCCAAGCAGGAATCTCTTGCTCTGGATTTCCATGCCTTTCGTTTTGGTACACCTCGTCTCAGACCATCAGATCACTCACTCAACAGGCTAGATCATGAGTACGCATAATTACATAATTTCTCTGGTTCAGAGGGTACCTATACATGAGAATGCCGTTCCTTCTCGTATTGCAAATATGTTTCGTTCAAAAACACGCCCTTTCTTCATTACAAGGCCTCATTTACAGATTCCAGGCATTACCAGACGACCGTCGTCCCTTTTCATACAACCACTTGCTGTTCAGTCCAACGCTTGTTCGCTTACCACCAGCCGAACCAGGAGAAGCAGGGTCGGAGAAGACGTTGGCAGATGAACTGGCAGCAAATGGGCTCGTTGATCCAAAAGAAGATCTCCTTCCGTTGCCGAAGCTGTTGACACTCTTCTGGAAAAGAGGGCTGCCCAGCGGTGAGCCAGTCGATCCCTGAACTACAGGGCTACCACGACCAGACAGAGGTGAGCTTGCAAAGCTTCCTCGACTTCCAACAGAGCCGCCAATGGAAGGTGTACGAGAGTATCGAGGCGGCGTGCTGAACTTGGCATCAGGAGTCGGCGCGGCAGATGAGGGGTCCAGACCCAGCAACTTGCGCTGAGCAGGTGTAAGAGGAATATCGGAGAGGTCGTCTTTCGGTCGGATCAAGGGCAGACACGCAATGCCAATGTTGACAAAGGGTATGAGTTGGAGAATGAACCATGCCCAACTCAAGTATATCCTAAAGGAGCTAGGAACACTGCACGGTTAAAGTTAGCTACTGGCGAGTCGCAGAGGACGCGACCAACTCACATTTGAGAGCCAATGTTGAGTTTGGCTAGCAGCTGCGCGGACCAGAATCCTAGCAGCGCGATAACATTGTATGCTATCTGGCGCACATTCTTCTCGGAGAATGTAGTCGCATTACGGCGCCTGGCGATCTCGTTCAGTCGCGGGTGGCGCCAAGTACCCGGGCTGTCGGTCACTGGAGGGCCGCCGATGGTAGTCGTCCTAACGGGGGTAGCCATTGCGAGTATGAAGAGTGTAGAACAAGCGAGACAGTCGGTTGAAAGACTCTAGTTCTGGTTCTGCGTGCGTTGCTGGTCGGGTGCCCTTTGATCACTTGAATGCTCTGCAAGATACTGAATGCTCGCGAAAGTCGTCTAAACTGCCCGCTCAAAGTTAAACACAGAAAAATGGTCCTTGCTATAGTTTCCCTGTTGGTTAGTAGTTATATCGTACAGGCCGAAGCCGTTGTGAGCCCGGTTGCTCCCTTGGTATGAGATTTGTTGACGTTGCGACTGTAGAGATGAGAGGAACGGACTCCCCTGGTAAGAAAACACAAAGCATAGGCTGGCTGCTCTAACTAATGGACTTTACCTACCTAGCTTAGCTCTGTTGGCTGTTGCAGCGACCAGCACGGGCCCTGCAGTAGTGGACAATTGGTACGCCACAGGCATGCACCAGCCACAGGGGCCTCTGGCCTTTCAGCCTTTGGCTCCACCAGTCCGCTCCTTGCTCGTGAGTTACTGCCCGGGTTGGTTGTACCGTGACGCGCCTCAGCAAACTTCCCGGCTCGTGGGCGTGGGCGCATCTGCTGCCCCAGGCTAAGAAACGCAACAGCGACTGGCAACTTCGCTTCTTGCTCACCTCACCAATCCCATTTCCATTCCCACCCATCCTTTCCCATCAGCATAAAGTAACCAAAAAACCTCAACAACGCCAACTTAAATCAGCATCACCATCATCATCAACGCTTTCGCAATCAATCTGCGCGCGCGCAATCACTCACCTATTCAATCGTCGTCAATCTATCTCCACCTATTTCTACATCTCCCTGCAGACGTTCCATCATATCCACGAGGATGCGCCGCTAATTCCTACGACTTGACGTTGAACTTTGACCTCTCGCGCCTCTTCGCGAACACCTTCTATTCCTAAAAGCCATCTACAAACCACCAGAATGGCGTCTCCCGTTTCGCTCGCCGCAACGTCGGAGGTCGACCCTCCAAGTTCTCCCGTCCAACCCGAGGCCAAGTCCTTTGTGTCTCGCGCGATGACCGAGGATGACGATACCCAAATGGCCAATGGTACTCCTGATCCTCAAGAAAAGTCCTCGCGTGCCAAGAGTAAAGCCTCACAGAACAAGGATGCTGCAAATCAACCAACAATCGGCAAGATACGCCATCTGAAAAAGGAGGACGGAGAGCCCCTCTGGAGGGAAGATATCCAATATGACTTCCTCAAGGCCGTGTTCGACAATGAGCAGTCTGTTTTCACCAATTCCTATGAACCAAAGCGACTTCAACGGCAATGCTTTGCCGATCTTTACATCGATACCATGTCTCGCAGCTCCAAGACTAGTAAGGTCCTCCGCGATAAACTCCTCAGTGATCGAGAAGCGGCCAAGGGAATGGCCATGGTCTGCCTCCTTGTCAACATGGGACGAATGAATACTACTCTGAACTGTGAGATCAACTTCTTTGTCCTTCCTAATAAATGACATTACTAACCCTCACAGTCTTCCCCGAAATGCGAGCTCAACTTCGCACGTACCATGCCATCCCCTCGCTTCAGGCTCACCAGGATCCTCACGCCTATAAACAACTTCAGGATGCACCTCGCCTCAAGTCTATTCTGAAAGGTGGTGCGGAGGATCGGGAAGAACCCAACTCTCTCGACAGGATCAAGGCGCCCGACCCCCCTCGCACAAACCCGGTTAACCTCATTTTTGTCATGTGCAACGCAGCCCAGAAGGTTGCTGAGCTTCACTTCCCGCGTCACCGTGAATTTCATGATCTAATTATGAAGACCGAATACACCAGCCAGTCGCGAGCAAACGCTTTTCTTTGGCTGATGTGGTTTTATCTCGAATCTGATTTCACGGAAGAAGGATGCGATGAGAATCCCTTCGGACCTGGTGTGGACTACGGGCTAGACGTTGCCAACCAAGGCGTTCCTCGACTTGTGGAGATGACCAAGGAAGAGCAGGTGAAGGAGAATGTGGATACTGAAGAGGAGATTGAGTTTGGTCGCACCAAGCAGAAGATGCGAGCCAAGATTTTAGAAATGGATCAACAATATCTTACCGAGAGAGAAACTAAGAGAGGAAAGATGCGGCCATCCTTTGCTGACGATGGCCCTGCTATCCTCCCTCGCATTAGGCCTTCTAAGCACGAATCGGATATGGACAGCACGCGGTCGACACCACCCCCACGATCACTTGGTCGCGCTCTTAACTCGAGTCGCAGAGGTGCCCCACTCAAGTACCAGATTTTCGAAGGCTCATCGCCAGCACATCACGTCAACGAGGGTGTCGTGGCAAGAAAGCCTCGGCCTCCCACAGCTCATCAACTAGCCGTTGAACGGAACCGCAGCCAAAGGGTTGAGTACATTTTAGATCGCGGCCTTCGTCGCCAACATCACAAGAGTCGGAAGCTTAGACGACAGGATGGTGCTATCTTCCGGGCATATCAACGACTTCAAGTTCAGGAAGATCCATTTGAGGATAGCGACGACGAAACTTCTCTTCCCCGGAACTTGACCTACGGAGATAAGACTCCAGGGCCATTCCGCGAAAAGGGTGTGAGTGGACTTTGTCTTCTATCAAAAGAGGAGGATGATTTTGGCGAAGAAGTCAGTGCCTATGCCGGTTCCTTGAGAAGGGCGACAAGACGTCTAGCTCGTTGGGGACCACGCGCAATGGAGCTCGGTGTCATCGCTCCCATCAAACGGCCAAGACCTAAGAAGGCTGAGGAAGAGGACCTGGACCTGGACCTCGATGATGATGAAGGAGACAAACTGAACGGCGACCTTAATGGCGACGATCACGGCGACGTCACGCTTGGTGATGTAACACTTGGAGATGTGACACTTGGAGATGTCACAGTGGGAGATATGACAGCAGGAGACGTGACTATGGGCGACGTTACAATGGACGATGGTGAAATGGAAGACCAAACAGTTCTTCAAGACGACGACGATGTGGATGATGCCGACCGTACAGAGGTCATGGGCGACTCTGATATGGAATAGATGACCACACAGAAGAACTCGGCATGTGTAACTCTAACGGAAAGGGATCAAATGGTTAGCGATTTACGGGAGCGACCGCCACAGGTTCTGGGATTATTGGAGTTGGTTTGAGGTGTGTTATTGGTTTTATTGCGAGATTCGATGGGTGTAATATTCTACAACGGCGTTGAATGAGCAACACAAGACAACACAAGACGCATGTGGGATGCGGTGAAGAAGGGGAAAAGAATTGCATTTTGCTCTTGATAGTTTGTGACTACAACCAATAGAATAAAATATTTGATAATGCTGGAGCTGGAGCTGGAGCTGGAGCTGGAGATGTGCGAATACAAATACGAAAACGAAATTGACAGCTGTAAGTGCGGCCGGAAACTCGGAATGCGGAGCGGCCGGGGCATTGATGGGCTCATCCGGGAGCACGGGCGGCGGTGAAACACGGCAAATTGATACAGTCCTCCGAGCTTCAGTAAGGTAGCCAGGGTCCAGCTCCGGTTGATTACGTTAATTTCCGGGGCTCAACAGAAATTATTAAGTCACCGTCTATTTCCCCTTGATCATTGCCATTGTCATTGAGTTTAACTTGTTCAACTTCGACTTGACAATCAACACAATGGCAAAGAACAAGTCCAAGTCCAAGTCCTCCTCGTCGGCCTCAGCCTCGTCGTCGCCGAGTGGCTTCAACAAGCTCCTTGTCGTCCTCGGCCTCCTGACGGCGCTTCTGAGCTCTGTCGTCTACTTTGTCGAGCAGAACATTGACCAGTTCTACATCTTCGACCTCAAGCACCTCGACGACTTGTCGAAGCGAGCTCTGGCCAAGCACGGCGACAACACTAGAGAGGTTGTGCAGTACATTGTTACTGAGCTGAACGAGAAGGTTCCTGAGCACATCA